CCATTCCGAGGAAACCAAAAAGAAAGGAAAATGGGCCAGATACCAACTATTACTTAAAAGCCTATATTTTCTTATCAATGAATATTTATTAAAATAAGCATCAATTTCAAACCCAAAACTGTTAAATTTAACTTCGAACAATTGAATGGGATTCAAAAATAGTCGATGGTCTAAAATGCGCTTTAGCGCCAAAAGAAAGGCCTATTGTATTCACCCCCCTTTTTTATATATTGAAATTCTTCTATCCTTTAAGGCCATTTATTCTATTATTTAAGCCTGGATTCAAATATTATTTGAAATAAAAAAGGAATTTAAACAAGAACAAGCTGTCGGTGTGATGGAAAACAAAACACTCGACCCATAAATCAATACATAAAATTCGCTGAAACAGAAAGTGTTAGCTCCATTATTTTAACCATAGTAATAAGATAGAATTTTTATTAACTATTTATATCTTTGGATATATCTTTTTATATGAAATAAACACCTAACCAGGTAAGAAAAGGCCATTCCCCATTCAAAAAGCCAAGAAAAAAATGCAATTTTGAGCATACGCTATGTGTTAACAACAGGCGCTTATAATATTGAAACATAAAAGATTAAAACAAAATATACTGATAAGAATTCAAAACATCTTGTATTCGCTTTAAATTCGACCCATTCCCCCAAAAAAGATCACATTAACCGATGAAAAAAGTAGAATTTTTTGGAAGATCCGCTTTAAATGAAATGCGAAATGGCACTTTCTTACCACCGTTTGAATTAAAATTAATGTGCAAAATATCGATTAATGTTTCTGACATTTTGATGATGTCGCATCTATTATACTTGATTTAAAATTTGTTTTCAACATTTTTTATAATTCTTGCGATAAATTTGAAATTTAAAGTGGAAACTTGTTAATCGAACATGCCCTTTTCGGCCGTTTAAACATAAACCTTTGCCAAACCATCACCAAATTATAAATATTATTTTATATCGCGTTATTTTCAAAAAAAATAATTGAATATTCCCAAATCAAAAACAAAAAACTTAACCAATTTCAAAAAGCAAGGCCCCATTGTTAAAACAGGGGTTCCCCCCACCGATCCAACATTTCTAAAAAATATATATTATTATAAAAATATAGTTTCGATATAACATATTTATTTTAATAAATTTAATATCATTTAATTTCATTGTTTTTTTTTCTAAAAACGGAATGGATGGCGCATATTCCATAATTTGTATTTTCAATTTTTATCGCATATAAAATATATTTTTTCGCGTTCTTCATCTATTGTTTGAAAATGGCAATTTAAGTATAAATATAGCAATCGTACTGTTTGAATTCCAAATTGTGCGATTGTAATTTGTTTGAAATTTAGTTGAATATTTTGTGGGTTAAGCATTCTCATCGCCAAAATACCTTCACAACCATCGAAAACAATGATAATAAAAGTAAATAAGGATATTCCTAGAAGAATTAAGATTAAATAAAAAATTATTCAGGAAAATTGATTTTTATTTAATCGCGATGTATCCCTTTTCCATTTCCAAACATCCCAATTTATAAAAAAAATTTCGCCATCATGAGAACTTAAACAGGTGATTATCATCAGATTAAAATAAAAACCATTTGTTTGAGATAACAAAAACATTTGTGAAATTAAATGTTATTTTTATAGATATATTTGTGTTATTTTAATTGCTTTAAGATTTTATGAAGGTAAATTCCCCATAAAAGTGTATGAATGCTCGAAAAATGTTCGAACTATATTGTTTTATCTATGTTTTAGCCAAATAAGCTTCCCGATTATCAAAAAAAAGTTTATGTGCATTTTTTATTTCAATTTGAGTTTGCGAATTGTTTCATTGTTGTTGATCGAATTTTGTTGGCCTTGGTTGGCCCATTTCCGATTTCCACAATCGTTAATATATATTAAAAGGTTAAGGTATACATAATAGATCCAAAATGGCCAATATGTTAAAGAATATTTAGCCAACTCCCAATTTTGTTTTGCCCCTTAAAACAAAAAATTAAAACCTTAAAGAAAATATATATCAACCTTAATTTTTTCATAAACATCAGATAAATTATTTAAACGATACTCGATAATTTATCACAATTCGCCAAACCATGTTTTATGATGGTTCTCTAAGAATTTCATGTTATGCCAAAATAATTTAAGCATAAGTTACATTTTAAATGGAATGAATTTTTATTTTTTAAATCTACGCCCACCTTTAAGGGCTTTTGTGCCATGCGAAATTGGTTATTTTTTTTCACCATAAGTTATTCGGAAAAACGTTTTAATTATATTAAATGTATTTTATGAATTTTTATTTATCCCGTTGACTTAAATTTAGTTTAAAAAGCGTTAAATAAAAAAGGATTTCTATTAATCCAGGATATTATTAATAAAAAAAAGATATTTAATTTAAAAAAGGGGATTTTAATGCGAATTTATAAATAGGAAACTTATAATGTTAATTTTTTTTCTCGCGCCACTGGTGGTGTCCCCCCCCCCCCCCCCACACACACAAAAAAAAAAAAAAAAATCATTTTAAACCTATTCTATATAATATTTATTTTCTATTTTGGCAAAATTAACTTTTAATAAGCTAAAGAATATTTTATGTCGTCTAAAAAACGTTTAATGGCGCCGGGTTGCCCCTTTTTTGTGTTCCAAAAAAAACTCCCACTTTCCCAATATATCCCCATAAAAAAGACCCATTCCCCATTCAAATAAAAAAATGTTAATACTATATATTTAACATATTTCAAAGGATAATAAACATTTTTTAAACCATAAAAAACAACAACTGAATTTATATGAGCGTGTGTGTTTTTCACCCGGTGGTGGTATTTTAAATAAAAAATTTCAAAATTCGTATTAATGGAAAAAAAATGACCAATAATACAAAAATAAAAAAGTCTTTTGGTTCTCATAGATTCCAAACCCCCAAAAGGCTATTTTCATCCCAACTCAAGAATAAACATATAAATATCCACGTCGATCGGTGAATGTGCGATGGGGTTGCCCCAAGCCCGAACCCGTCATGTGATTATCTTGGGGGGACTTCGCAAAAATAAACGCATTTTAAAGAAAGTTTCATCACATGAATCGTTTTTTATTCTCCAAGTATGTTTGAAAATGAAAATTATGTTAAAATATGAGCCCAATCCTTGGAAAATGATTATTTTCCAAGAAAATGGGGATATTTCCAGGATAAAAAAATTTGTGTACATGTTTTTTCACGGTTTCCGTGGGGTTTGGCCTTTTACGTTTTTTTGTGCAATATACTAAAAGGTTTTGCGCGTCTCAAATGAAATAGGAAATAATTGACCAATAAATTCTTTAAAGGTTTGGGTGTTTTTTTTTGCACTTCGGCGCGGATATATGTTGTTGGTGGGGGCTTGGCTCTGCGTCGAAACGGGTCGGCGCTCTGTGACTTTTATCGGCTTCCTTGAAAATATTTGCTTTTAATTGTCGTGTTGTTCAATATTATAATATCATTAATTTGATTTATTTTAATTATACCCCTTTTAAATGAATTGGGGGGCCCCGAGGTTGTGGATGCGCTTTTTTAAAGGGCGGGTATTCCCTGAGAGGCCCTCGGCGCCACAGACCGGGCCAGTGGGTGAGCGCCTTATAATTTTAAAGGCTAACACTTTGGACATTCGGAAGATTATTCGGGCTAATTGATACAATCTTGGGAAATTTGGAGCAATCATAATTTAATCATTTAAGTATGCGCCAAATAAAAAAACTGCTTGGTTGGTAAACTAGGGAATTTTTAAGTTTTTATTGGCGCTTCTTTTTTCTTATTATTATAGGATCGACTTAGGTTTTGTTTACGCCCAGTTTTTTAAGGTGAAATCAACTTATACGTTTTAAATGAATTAGCTGAAATTTACAGTAAGAGTCCTCTAATAATTTTATCGAGTTTATGAGTGGTGTCATGCATTTGTGTAAGTAAGACATTTGCTTTTTTATTTTTGTTTTGATACTTTAAAAAAAATTATACTAATGTACATAATACCATAAATATATATTTATCTTTATATATATATATATACTAAAATTTTTTTGATGTTTATTTTTCTTATTTAATTACTTTTTTACTATTTACAGGAATCATATATAAATTTTTAAAATTAGATTTCATTTAAAAGCTTATTGGATACATACAATGGGTTTTAAATATATTGAGAAAGATTTTTGTATTTCCAGCGATACAAAGGATCTTTTAAACGAAGAGCTTGAGGAAGCAGAGAGCGGTTCTGATCCACGAACTCAACTATTTTTAAGAAAAGAGGGCGTTCAATATTTATCAGAGCTTTTTCCACATATAAAACACATTAATGATCTTGATACGCTTTCACAAAATCTTAAAGCTGAGGATGAATTTGCGTTTTCACAAGTATTTGATTCAAAATTAATAGATGCATGCATCATTAGAGGAATTTTCCCACTGTCATTAGATATAGGCCGTAACATTTTTCTTTTTGCACCAAAGCTGCACAAACTGCATTTGATCTGCGCAACAGTGGATAATTACCTGATGAGAAATAATATTGAATATTTTCCACGATGCAATGACAATGAAGGAATATTTCAGGTAGAGAAACTTAATATTTCGAAAAGGTTTCTCAAACTAACTAACGATGCTTTGTATAGTGTCTCCTTTGATATTTTTGTGAATAGAAAAGAAGACCTAGTTGATGTGTTTTGTTTAATACATCAACGATATGGAGAGAATTGGCTTTGCAAAGCGTTGCGTAAATGTTTTCTTTACATGCATCTTCATAGAGAAAACTTTGAGACTCAAATAATAACAATTGCCGTGCGTAGACATAAGTACCAAAGTGATTCGAGACAATTGTCGTCATCTAGCTCCGATGAAGTTAAGGAAGGAGATTTAGTCGCAGCTGAAATTGGCTATATTGTTGGTGATATTTATACTTCAGCAACGGGTGCTTACTGTGTTAGTGGTGCCGGTAAGTTGCAACTTGCAGTTACTGGTTGTATTTTACACAAGCTTGGATGTAAAGTGTGGGATTTAGGAATGTCGATGTTTTACAAAAATTCATTGTTAGGGTGTGTGGAAATTAAAAGAGAGAATTGGATTCAAATGGTAAAACAGCACAGACAAAACAGTGTATTAGTTACAAGAAAATCCCAAGAATTTCTTCTCGAGCTTCAAAAGGGTAAATGTGTGGGTGCTATTCTGAAGGATAGCACTAAACAATTACAAAATCAGTAACAATAAATTACCAATGGGGAAGATATTTTGAAGCTAATTTTATTGTTTTTTTACTGCTATTATTTTATTGCCCAACATTTGGATATATTCACTACTTCAAAAAATCCCTATGAGGGGATGTTTATTTTCATGTGTGTAGATCACTTTAATATATATATATATATATCACTCGGATTTTACAGATCTATTTTGACAAACCTTTTCGCTTTGCATGAAATTTTTTACACCACTGTTAAATAATTTAGGTAAAATGTCAATCCACCTTGCTCGAAGTGGGATCATTGCAGGCTTCAACAAAGGTCACGTGACTACTCCGCGAGCCCGCCAGCCTTCTTCAAATGATCGTTATGCTGCGCCTCACAAAAAAGTCCGGGCTGTGAAAGCTATTGTTGCTGATCTTGTTACTCTCTGTTAGAAAGACGTGTGCAGGAGCTCCTTCGTGTTGGTAAGGAAAAACGCGCACTAAAGTTGTATAAAAAGCGTCTTGGTAATTTTACTTCAGCGAAGAAAAAGCGATCCAAGATGGAAGAGGTACTGCGCAATATGGCGAAGAGGGCTCACTGATTTTTTTTTACTCATTGTTTGTATTTTTTCTGAAAAAAAAATACCTCATCCTGAATGTTTTTTGCGTGCTATTTATATAATTAAATCTTATTAATGTTTAGACTCACTATATATTTTACTTTGATTTAATATTTTGAAAATAAAGATAATAGAAAATAAAAATTACAGACAGACATTTAGAGCATATGTATCATAGGAACAATGCCACAAGAAAATAGTAAGTCATTATTAAAACGTGATTCATTGTCTGAAGCTGAAAAATGGCGAATTATCATTGATAACACGCTAAAATTTTTGAGCATCGGTTTATTATGTGGTGGCACATTTTCTGTAGTGACATTTCGTTCGCTTACTGCAAGGGCCGCTATTACAGCATTTGGCGCAGGATTTGGTTTGGGGAAATCGTATGTCGATACTAAATTTATACTGGGTCATGATGTTCCTGCAGAAGCAATGTGGGCAGCTCAGGTTGTACCTTTGAAAAGTGATAGGACATCAATCGAATGAATGCTTTTCACTGTCGGAATTTTAGGGTTACATGGGGTACAAAAATATTGAAGAACTATTTATTTCTATTGTTCCAAATTTTTTTTTCTGTATTGCACGTCAAAGCTGAGGTTGATTATAGTTTTAGTTTCAATCACAGCTTCTGTTCAATTATTTTCTAAATTATTTGGCACATTTTGACATATTTCCTATATCCATACAAAAATTCATAAACCAGAACATTATGGATTTTATTATATGATTTTTTTTTCTCTCAATAACAACATAAAATAAATACGCTACAACTGATTTATGCATCCCTATTTTTTTTTGAACTTTTTTCTTCTCAAGATCATCAGGTTACCTAGCGTTATGTCTCACAAGATATCAGCTTCTCAAAATGGGAGTTTTTTATGTGGATCAACCTTTCTTGGTTGTATTACTGAGTCTATGCAGTGCACATTCTCTTACGTTCATCCGAACACTAATGGGGACTCATTTGATTTAGTAAGCCCTGTTTATACAGCTTTCAGTCGTCATATGTCTACTCGTTCATCGCGTGGGATGAACAAAAAAGGCACATCCATAAATAAAAAGGATTATAAGGCTGGAGACCATGCTGCTCTTTGTTATAATAACTCGGGTTCATTTTTTTCGATTTTGATTCTCCGTTGTGACACTTGGTCAGTTCAGTGGGCTGTCGCCTCCTTACAAGAGTCTATGTCAATATGCAAAATAGAGCTTTTGGATGCACATCTCTTGTGTGGCTTAGCCTCAACAAATTCTAATGTGCATCGTGTATTTATTGCTTCTCGTCTTAATTGTAAATATGTTAGCGAAAAGGAAAACCGTTCACTTCGTCATTTTTTAGCGCAATCCCAGTTCATTAAACTAGGGGTTGAATCTGAAAATATTATTACGATTACAGCTGCGCGCGCTAATTCTATTATTATATTAACCGAGTTGGGTTCACTTTGCCTCGTCAAGATTGAATTTAGCTTCAATGTACGAGAACTCAATTGGAGTATCACCGAGAAAGCCATTATTACCGACAAATTGAGGTGTGTTTCAAAAGGAACCGAAATGATCTTCTCGACAAATGGTGATTGTAATACACTGGTAGTATATTCCCAGGAAATTTCAACGTTAAATATAATATCCTTTTCCACTAATTATGAAAATCCTAATGGTACAATCAGCCAAATAAATATTCCTGAGAATTTTCAGTTGAGGTGGGTTGAATTTGTCGGCCCTTATCACTTTGTTATGGCATTGGAGGAGTGTTCTTCTCATACATCAGCTTTTCAGTTTGTCAGCTTCTTTACATCTGCTGATAACACACTGGAGTTCGTGCAGCATGAAGTGGTGCCGCTAAAAAAGGTTCCAGTTGTGTCTTTCTATAACGCAAAAACTGAGGAGCACGTTGTTGTTTGTGCAAACATGGCGAATTGGAGTTCCATTTTAAAGGAAAAAATGAGCATTGATTTATTGATACACAATAAATTTTCATTTGCTAATGGTCCATATTCAAAAATTGAAACCACGGCAGTTTGGAAGCCTTTTTACATTGGTCATGATAATTATCAAGATTCACTGACTTTAGAAAACGCTACCGATAACTTAAACGATGCTTTGAGTTTAGTAGCACCTGAAGACACCAATCCAACGACTTCATTGCGCCTTTTTTATCCTCTCCTTAATTCAACCGAAAGTGGCAGCTGCGAAGTTTCGGTTTTCTCGGTGGAGACGTTACCCTACCTTCACAATCGTCTGGTAAAGCAGTTCCACAACGCGACCCAAGGGCTTCGCCATCTCCTTTCTACCCGTCATCCGATCATGCACCCTTTTCTGTTCTCGTGGAATCCTCGCCACCTCCGTCGTGCGCTTCGTTTGCTCAGTCAAGAGCAGCTAGGGGCTTTATTCCACGATATCGCAGAGACCATGCGTCACGCAGCGTCCGGGTCTGTTTTGGCCGCTTCGAATTATGGTGAATTATCAACTGCAGGATGTAGTATCGCAATGCAGATTATCACACTCTCTAAACAAATAGGTGTGGTTCTTGATAACAAAGACGTAGAAATTTTGTCAGCCTTGTTTCGGTCTTCCCGTGAGGTTAGTCATGACTATCTTGGTTATTTGTCTCGCATGAAACTTATTCTTGAGAGCTGTACTCAACAGCGGCGAATAAATAACCTTCTTTACACTAGACAAGATGTTACAAAAGTTCCTGAAAACCAAGAGGTTGATTCAACACCGAATGAGTTTTCACCTGTTTTTAACAATTCTTACTCGAACCCAGGACTTCAGACGAAGTATGACATGAACTCGTGGGCAAATAATTTGAAGATACACATGCCACAACACATTAAAGTAGCGGAGGCGGCTATGCAGCACATCACGGATGCGTACGATTTCACCTCGTCCAGGAAGGATAAAATTCTAAGTGATTGGGAATTTTTAGGTCGAGAGCCCAATTTTGATGCGACCTTTAATCGATTTGAGTCTACCCTTATGGGCACTGCATTTGAGAGGGAAATGACAGATGATAAGTAAGTATAGAAAAAAAATAATTAAACGCTTAACCTTAAGTTTGTAAGAATACTAATTTATTTAAGACCATTTATTGTGCATCAACTCAATTTTATCAATTGATCTTAAAGTAAATAATAGTTTTCTATTTTCAAATCCACTCCTCTTTACACACACTTTATTTATACCTCTGAATTGATTTTTTTTCGCGTGTATTATTTTCGGGTGTTTACAATTAATTAGCTTCACATTTTTGTTAGAAAAAATCAACATTTAAAAAATTTCCAATGACCAGTACTGACGAATGGAAAGGAGCACGATTTAAAGAGGCCGAAGACCATTCCCAGGAAACTAACGTACTTCTGGAAAGAATAAATGCAACTACGATACCCGACCTTTTGAAAAGTTCAGGTAAGACTATTGATGAACTTGTCGACGAAATATTGGTCTTAGAGAAGAAATGTCGCCTCGGTGATGACGTTGCCTCTACACGAAGGCTTGCAGTGGAGGCTCTGCGCATATGCCGTGTGCAGAAGGATGTGGTAAAAATGCTCTCTTTACTTGACACACTAATGAAAAAGCGGGCTCAAACGAAGCAGGTGCAAGTCGCCATGATTGCTGAGAGCGCTGTGGTCCTCCACGATGATTCTCTCGAACCCGAAAAGGAGGAAGATGTCCTTGAGCGACTAGCACATGTTACTGATAACAAAATCCACGTTGAGTTAGAACATGCACGTTTTACCGTTGAGCTTGCCAAACGCCACGAGGCGCGTGGTATGAAGCGTTCCGCGTGCGATATGCTCTCCGCTTTGCATGTTGAAACGATTACTAATATGCCACGTCTAGAAAAACTAGAGGCACTCAACCGGCAGATTCGCCTTTGCCTGGAGTTGGAGGATTATGAGCATACTCCTCTTGTTTCGCGAAAGATTAATCATACTGCTCTACGTCGGGAGGAGGCTATGGAGCAGAAATTGGTGTATTTTTCGCTTATGCGTCAGTACTACGCGAAGAAAGGTTCTTATTTTAATTTAGGTCGTTGTTGGTATGAAACTTACCTTACTCTTACTGACGCCAAGCAGAAACTTGGCGCCTTAAGTAACATGATGGTTCACTACCTCATTTCAGAGCATTCCACAGTGAAAGAAATCGAGGACATGGCCGAATGCACCGCATTTTCCCCCGCTACGAAAATGCAAGACAGAGTATTGGCGCTTTCAGAAATATCCCAAACACTCAAATCTAACTTGGAGGATTTACCAAATTTACATTTTCTCCTTAAACAGTTCAACAGTATCGACGTGATCAGGGAGCGAATAAAAAGAGAAGTGGATGATATATGCGGCACGCACCCGGAGCTGAAAGACTATCCAGAACGCCAAGAATTGCTTCTTAATCGATGCAGTGAGCATGATTTGATTGTGATCTCGCGTTTTTACACGCGTATTCGTCTCACACGGCTTTCCGAGCTAGTCGGGCTTTCGCAATCGCATACCGAGTCGTTTATTATGTCTATGGTGTCTAATAAGACGTTGTACGCTAAGATCGATCGCGTGGATGGACTTGTGGTGTTTGAACCTCCTCAAAACACCATTGAGGTGATGGCATCATGGAATGCAGCGGTGGAGCGCAGTGTGGCTCTTTTAGACAAGGCGTCGCATCTCATAACAAAGGAACGAATGCTGCATAATTTACCTCAATATACTGCGAGTTAGTTACCCTGTTTGGATAAGAACTTGCCGAAATTGATGGGTGTATTTTTTTATTTTTTCAAGTTCATGTGATCACTTTAAAAAGAAAAGAAAAGCTAAAGTGATATAGGGTATGTATAGCATTCAGAAAATTATATTGAGGTAAAGGATATATACAAGTTCCTTTGTTTATCGTATGAAACATATGCGCATTAATATTACCTAGGCTATTGGAGCAATTTGGCTTTGATAATTGCTATTATTATTAATCCACCTTTATTTGTTTTATATCAATGATATTAAACCTTTAAAGATAAATCTATTAAAAAAAGGAAATCGTAGGCTTAAGCTGATTGTGATTTGACTTCAGTATATGCCCTTAAACATACACTGTTTACTAAGGCTTAACGTCTGGAAAATGATTTCCGATTCATCTAGTTTTTTCCTTCAGTTTGGAAATTTTTTTTAAATTGGATTTTACTTTCAGTATTTTATCCATTTATAAAACCATCAAGGGTTATTAAATCGCATATTAGTGCGCATAAAGTGTTTTCTCTTTTACACCCAAGAGTCATGACAGGCGTTATGATCATCCCGGAATCTTTGCCGGCATCATTTTATGATGCATCAGGCAACATTTGCGAGAATACGAGTAGTATCACTACCGGTAGCGACGAAGGATTTATTAATAAGAAGGAAGAAAAGTGGATATGGGTTTTGGACCCCTTAACACGTAAACTGCGCGTGCCTTTGAATTTGCTGTCCCCTACTGAAGCCACGGCCACGAGTGGAACGGTGCCATCGCTCTGCATTGCTTATCTTGAGGGGCGTTGCCGTCATCCTTGGTGTCGCCAGGCTCATGTGCACCCATCCGCTATCCAGCAGCTCCGTTTCGAGGCCCTCAATGCACCAACGTGCTGCCACTTTCACAATGATCCTCACGATATT